CCCCCCCGCCGTGGGGGCAATGCCGGGGGCGGTTGTGCCCAGCTGCGGTGCTGCTTTACCCACCCCAAGACAACGGCCGTGCTCCTTCTTTGTTTTAACAAAACAGCTGCTGTTTGGAGTGAAACCTCCCGGCAGCGTCTCTGTTTGCAGCCCAAACAGCACAGCCCTGCCAGGAGCCGGCAAGGGGTGTTTGCAGAAACTGCTGCCCCCGCGGCATCTCCCGGCTGACGGGCAGGAGCCGGGCACAGGTGCCAGCTGGAGCTCACTCGCGCCTGTGCCAAAGGCAAGCTGTCCTGATTTTCCCAGCATGGCCAAGATGAGCACAGGGTGCCAGGAGGAGGAGGAAGAGGAGGAGGAGGCAGCGGCGTGGAGCACGCTGCTTGCAATGAGGATGCATGGGGCAGCAGGATGCTCAGGGATAGATCCTGACCACCAGCCAGTGCTGGCTCGGTTCTGGCTTCTCCCTGGCAAGGCCAGCAATACTCCTTGTGGCACTCACTGCCTTGCGAGGGCACACATAGCCCCATGCCATGCCATGCTGTGCTGTGCAGGTCTCGGTGTGGGGGTACAGCAGTCCCGGGGCCGTGCTACAGGGGAGTCTCCAGCCCCGCTCCAACCAGTCCCTCACCTGCCACAGCAGCAGGGCTGCCCGCACCCCGGGCTCTGCCTGGCGACTCTGGGCATTGCCATCGGCCGGGCACTGCTGTGCCAGCGAGGGAGAGTCAGTGTGAGCCAGGCCCCTGGCCTGGGACCCCAAGAGGCTGAGCTCCTGCCAGGACCCTGCCCCACCAGGCTGCGCTCCCCGCTTCGGTCCCCTGTCCCCCACAGGGGCGACCCACGCCCCGCTCCCCAGGGGTCGGAGGGTGAGGAGCTCTGCCGCCTGGCGCTGCCCTGACGCCGCCATCCTACCACAGGGGAGCCCCAGAAGCCAGGGAGGTGCCCACGGGACTTCACGCGCTGCCTGCGCCTGGAGCCCCCCCTCTGTGCCAACGACTCCAGCTGCCCCGGCTGGCACAAGTGCTGCCCCCGGGAGTGCCGGCTCCGCTGTACCCCCCCGGCAGAAGGTACGGCACCGTGGCATGGCCACCAGCACCACCTCTGTCGTGGGACAGCCAACACCCTTCCTCCCTGTCCCTGTCCCCATCCTTGTGCCATCCCCATTGCCACAGAGCAGCTCTCTCCATGCCACTGGCAGCCTTCTGCCCACGGCTTCCAAGGCCGGCATAGGGCATGTGGAGGGGTCCGGGACAGGGCACATGGTGGGGTCCAGCCAGGGTCAGGCAGAGGGGTCTGGCGGGGGCAGGCAGACAGGTCCGGCAGGGTCAGGTTTCCCAGCACTGCCCTGGGACACCACTGGTGCAGCCTCACCTCTCAGCCCCACGCTACTCGGCATTGCAGAGAAACCCGGCGCCTGCCCGGCGGCAGCCCCCGAGGGGCTCTTTTACCCCTGCTCCTTCCCCTGCCTGGAGGACAAGGACTGCCTGGGAGCGCAGAAGTGCTGCCCGCTGGGCTGCGGCCCTGCCTGCCTGGAGCCGGTGCAGAGTAAGGCTTCCACAGGGGCCGGCTGGGAGCGTGGCAGTGGGAGAGCCCCGGCTCACTGCGGGGCGGCCACGGGGCCCCTCCATGCTGTAGACTTCTGCCACCTCCCCGCCATGGGCCCCTGGGGCGGCCGCACGCCGCTTCCCCTACACCAGCAGCTCCCCGCCGCGCCGCTTCCCCTACACCAGCCTGGCAGCTG